TATTAAAAAGATTAATTTATTATTAAAAAATTTAATTAATAGTATATAAATTAAAATTATCTTTTAATTCTTAAAGACCAACTAGGACTTATTAGAACTTTTACCAACCCTAATAATAAGTGATAAATAGGATTTCATATCCTAAAAAAAAAATTAAGTTTTCAGATTAAATAGTAAAAAATGAAACATGATAGATGTGATGCAGTGTAATAGTTTATTATATAAGTCTAGATAATATAGCACACAGATATATCAAATAAATTTTCCTTTAATTATATTACTAAAATTAATATTATAAAGAAATTAATACTTTCTTTTAATTATGTAAGCAAATTTGCCTACTAAACAATCTTTTTTTTTTTTTTTTTTTTTTTTTTTTTTAGAAATACCATAATATTAAAAGTATTTTATATTATTAGTTTTAATAAATATGATTAAATTTAGTATTTCTGCAATTCAGAATTTTTGATCTTTAATGTTAAAAACAAAATAATTACAATATACGGTTTTTTTCCTAATAAATATTAACTATGTCAAACAAGGAACACAAAGGACAATGTCAGACATTATGATAGATAATGATAGATTGCCTAATATGACTTAACTAATTGACGCCCGTTTTGTACTCGTAAATTCAAATAACGAGCATGTTTGGCCGAGTACAGACATAGACCGTTATCCATTATTCAAAGTAATATTGCTGACTAATTACTATCTATCCACTTACCTTCATGAATAAAATATAGATTGGTTATTTTTTTTCCTTCAAGGGTTAAAATTATTCAGTTTTATCTAATAGTATAACGTAGTAATGATTGTAGTACACGCACAAAAAAAATTCTGACATAATTATTGTGATGATCAATATAAATAGGCTCTGTGGACGGTGGTCAGACTGCTTGTTCTCGCTAGAAATTCCCATTTCGATTATCTACCCTTCTCTTTTTCATGAGGTATATATAAATAATCATTTCCTTTTTTTTTAGCAAATAAATAATAAATTAAATTATTATTGGTATTTCATTGTTATCGAATTGGTAAGTGATTTGTGATTATAGTGTTTTTTGGCGCAGTATTCGTACATAATGCATGTTAAAAGAAAATTTTCTTTACTAAATTAAGTAGAACAGCACATTGATGTAAGTTCGTGTTTTTAAACGGTTAAAAGTATAAAAAAGCTCCACAACGTAATTTTTTTACCTTATAAGTTTTAGTTAGGTACAATATGTCACAAGAATTGAAAAGGGGAAATTTAGTATCATTTAGAGACGAAGAATACGAGACGGAAAGGGAGAATTTCCCATCGTCTGTAAGCTCATCATTTGTAGGTGAAATGAATTCACTCGATTTATTATCGCAAGAGAGCGATACTTTGATGATGTCAGATAATGAGGAAAAGGTTCATGATTCTTCTACGGAAAACAACGTCAAACCAAGTGACGCTGTTCCCATCGCTGTCGAACCTCTGTCAAATGCGTCAAAAGTTTCTTCGTTCTCTGTATTGTCTTTAAAATCCCAAAATCATCGTAAAAATAAAAAAGCTGTTTATGAATTTGTGATACCAAATAACAGTGTTAAGTCCGGTGGTAAAACAAAGAAGCAACTTAAATCGCATGAAAATACGAATAAAAGTTCTTTTGTTGCGATAAATAAGTCAAAATCGCAATTAAAATCATCGACATCAAAAGCGAAGAAATCACAATCAGAGAACATACCTAAATCAAAGAGAAAGAACAATGTAGATGTTGGTACTGAAAAATCAGTGAGATTACCACAATTTAACAAAGGAATATTTTCGAATTTGCGAATTTTATTTATATCGAATAATATTGATAAACTTCGTCTGAATTTAATGAAATCAAAAGTTTTAGATAAAGGAGGGATTATCGAAGAAAATTTTGAATTTGATAGAGATCTTACACATATTATAACAGAATTAAGTGGGAACCAATTGGTAGCAAAGTTTGGTGTTCGAAAATTAAAAAGATTTGAGGTAAAATAATATATATATATTTCTCTCTCTTTAGATAAAATTAATTTCCGTATATTATTGTAGAATGTCGCAACAGTTAGGCCGAATTGGATTTCCGAGTCAATTATGGTAAAATATTTCATAAATTATCTAAACGAAAGGAAATGAATTAACAAGTTAATCATTACGTGAAAAAATTTTTAGTACGGAAAACTTATGAACGTTGAACCCTACGCAATATCATTGACGGAAGAATCTGCTGACAGCTTAAATATCACAGGTTTACAAACATCTCAAAATTTGAAGAGATCTAATAACGAGCAAAAAGACAGAAAACAAGAAGAAAGCAACAATGACAAATTATTAGACATGAAAAGACAACGGTTAAGCTTCTCACCTTCCCCACCAGATGTTACGATTTTACAGAATGATGAAGATTCATTCTTAGAGTCACACATAAACAACGATATGGATTCTACAAGCTCTGTTAATAATGATACTATTTGTAACAATGATCCATTGTTAGAAATGATTGTTGAAGTAAAAAAGCTTACAGAATCTGTATGTAAAATATTTTCATGTTTTTAAAATTTAAAAGTTATATTTAAAAATTCTTTTCTTGCCTTTTTTTTTTATTAAATAAATTAATATATAGGGACTTTATCTTGATGAAGGAGGAGATAATGATAATGAAAATGAAAGTATGCAAGGCGACATTACAACTTTTGATTCAAATGATGTATTAATATCCGAAAATTTCAGTGGGGAAGTAATTACAGATGTAACAAATTCTGACAAACTTGAAAAAACTGTTGAGATTAATGCTGAATCGCCATCCGTTAAACCAGAGGTTATTTAAATTTTATTTTGTTTTTCATTTTCATTATTTATTTAACGTTAATTATTTAATACTTTAAAAAAAAAATAAAAAAAAAAAATAGAATTTTCGAGGACAAAATTCCTTTGCGTGTATGCATAGCAATAAGTATGAAGAAACGAACAATACCCCAAATAAAATGATAATCGAAAAGGTAATTTTAATGTTACTACAAATGATATTTATAAATTCTTAATTTAATGTTTTTTCATCCTTAATAAAAGTTGCAAATATTATTGGATCATTATACTCGAATGAAAGATGAATGGAGAATGATCAGTTATCGCAAAGCTATCTCTGCCATCAAGAAACATACAAAACCAATTACCTCGTTCGAAGAGGCTAGAAAAATTCACGGTATAGGAACACGCACTGCAGAAAAGGTATGGAAACTTCGCCTTAAAATATGTTTTTGTAGAGGATTGATTTTGTTAACTTATTAATTTTATAGATTGCAGAGATTATTGATACCGGAAACTTAAGGAGAATAACCCATTTCTCGGAAGGCGAAAATTTAATCAAAAAATTCAGTTTTGTTTATGGTAGGCTAATATTCGTTAGTTTTTAAAATGTATGTGAATAATTACTCATGTCTAACTCTTTATCGCAATAGGTGTTGGATCATCAGTCGCAATGAAATGGTACGCAAAAGGGTATAAAACTTTTGAGGACGTATTGAAAAATGAAAAATTAACTCATAACCAAATAACGGGAATATTGTATTATGAGGTAAATTTATTTGTTCATGTAAAACTTATTCTTTTTCTTATTTTTTAAAAAAAAGATGAATGATTTTATATATAGGATTTACAAAAGCGAATACCTAGAGAAGAAGTACAAAAAATTTCGGATTGGGTAAAAAGTGCTGCACTTTCTATTGATTACAAGTTGGAATGTACCACAACCGGATCTTTTAGACGAGGAAGACCAGACTGTGGAGATATTGATATAATGATCACAAGAAATGATTCAGATGGAAAGAATCATCTTGGTAATTATTCATTCTTGAAATTTCAAAGTTGTATTTTTAAATATCTAAATAATCTTCAATCCCGATAAATCCTTTTAGGAGTTTTAACAAAATTGGTTGAAATCTTAAGTAATCAAGGATTCTTAACACATGAATTAACACGTCATGATGGAGATAGTCTTTCTGCAAAATTCATGGGAATTTGTAAACTACCCGAAGGAATACATAGACGTTTAGGTTTATACAATATTTTATTTAAATTTGAACTTTATCAATAAAGACTTAGACCATCCGTTATTTTTTCCCATAATAGATTTATTTACAGTACCATACAAAGAAATAGGTGCCGCATTACTTTCATATACTGGTAATGATGTATTCAACAGAAGTATGAGATTGATGGCCAGAAAAAGGAAAATGTGTCTAAATCAACATGGATTATATATGAATGTTTCGCGTGGATATGGTGGAGTCAAATATACTGAAGGAAAATTACTTGCTCAAAAAACAGAACAGGAAATCTTTGACGCATTAGGAGTTCCATGGCGGTAAATAATCCTTTTAAATAATCGTTTATGATCATATTTTTTCATATTTAATAATTCTTTGTATTATCTTTTTATAGTCCACCGAATGAAAGGAACTGTTAATTCATTAATATAAAATTTTTTATCAATATGCAATATCTCTAATATCAAATGAATAATAAATAAAAATGCTAATATATTTTGCTAGATTAAAAATAAATATTTTAACCGAATATGCCTTGGTTTGATTGACACTACACAAATTATCATGTAAATTCCATGGATTAAAAAAATAAACCAAAAATTTCAACTGGAGGACCTGGGTATCGATCCCAGTACCTCTCGCAGACAAGCCATTGCTAAGCGAGCGCTCTACCATCTGAGCTAGACCCCCTGATTCCTTATATTAATGTGAAATTTAATAATTTTATAAAAATAAAACTTACGAAATAAGGAATTTGATGATCGACTTTCACAAGGATTTTTTGATTTTTTTCCTTATGTAAAAAAAAACTTCATTAAAAAATTTCCTATGGAATCTCCAAATATAGAAATTCAACGCGATCAAAAAATGAAATAGACTCAAAAAATAATAAAAAAAATATTTTTATTTTCTTGTAACGCCAAGGTCTATTTTTTGTTGACTTTTTTGCGACGAGAAATCAAACTTGGTTCAAGTAATTTCTTCAATTACAACGAATAATCAACTGGGTTATCTCAATTCCAACATATTCTAGTTTTTCAGTAAATATTACTACGATATGATATTTATTTGACTCTTCAATAATATTTAAGATAAGCTTAAATAAGCTTTTTATTATGATCAAATAATTCGTATCGTTTACAAATTGCAAATTTGTGATTAATAATTAGGAAAAATATGTAGTTTTTTAAAAAAGATTTGGATCCAGTACTTTGTAATGATTCAACAGTATAGATTTTTTGTCATTAAAGTAAATTAAACGCATGAGTTAAAAAAAAAATATGATATCTTTTACTCGAGGACATTCATTAGTATATATTCTTCAAGAACTTGAACTAATTCTAAAGGTTAAGATGGTGCAATTAAATGGAATTAATTCTTCCGATGTCAGCAACACCTATTATGAAATTACAAAATTTATATTAAATCCAAAAACAAATGATCATTTAAGGCTGCATTGTATTTTACTTGTTCCAAATACTTACTTAATATAGTTTTTGCACACTTCACAAAGTTGTATCACTTCTTCTTGAAATGATTCCCATCTTAATTCTAAAGTCCATATTGATTTTTGATATGTAGGTGTAACTTTTTACTATTGATCGCCTCCTTTTTATGATGTGACTCTTTATAGTATATATTATAGGTTCGATCTTTTGATATTTTTGAACAAATAATGGCATATAGAAGGAATTTATTTCGATATGAATCAATATACCAAATAAGGTTTGTTAATCGTTTAATAAAATCCTTTCCTATTGATAAATGAAGACCTAACCCTTTTTCTTGAAAAGGTTATATAATAAATCAATTCGTAATACACAACTTTTAGCAGGTGGAATTTGGAATTTTGCATTAAAATTTCTAATGTGTTTGGTATATTTTTATTAGGCAATAAAATGATGCTATCATTATATTATCATTGAAAGAAAATTGAATATGATATGCTTGTAGACAAACAAGTAAATTAAGGTCTTCCTCTACCCATTTTTATATTATGCCACTGCAAAAAGTCACGTGTTTGAAAACAAACTTTAATATTTGCAAGTGATAGCTCTGGAAAAGAAGTTGCTGGAATTTGTTAAACAGATTAGATTGGTCCGGCCTTATTGATCACTTTTTTTTATTAAGTAAAAACTGAAGTTTCCAGTTTTTTCGTTATATGTAACCCCTAATTTTTTACAGCAGATTTTTTTTAATTCTCTAGGATAAGAAAAATATTTCAATATAATTTTTTCTGACTTTTACTAATAAGAAGTTAGAACGATTTTTTTGTAAAATTGATCACTTTTTTCATTAAAATATTATAAACTTACAAATAAATGGGAAGTTATACAAACTTGACTTTCAAAATTATATCTAATAGTTTTTAAATGGAATAATAGAAATAATATTATTTTAGAAGTTGAAGATATGTTTTATAAGTGAAAGTTAAGAATAATAAAAAGACAAAGTTAGTAAATATGCAAAAGTATTTTAAGTATATAAACTAAATATTTATTTTTAAACAAAAAGTTACAAGTGTATCTTTAAATTTGACACTTATAATAAAATAAATTTCAACTTTTCAGTCATTTCTCAACAATATACAACATATAAACTCTAAAGCAAATTCAATAATAATATATATAATATATATATATTAATGCTTCATATAAAAAACTTTTGAAAAGAATTAATATTAACAGAAAGATCTTTATTTACTTTAAGGTCAAAAAGGTATAGAAATATTATATATATTAAAATATCAAAAAAATATGAGCTATTTTTGTAAAATTAGTGTCTTTTTGAAAGTCTATATGTTATATTTTTAGTGTATTATAAAAAATATAATAAATTTTTAAAGATTTTATTTTTTTAAACTGTAAAATCAGCTAATTTAAAGATTTAACAATATTATATGTTTGAAAAATAAGATAATAAGAAGAAGACAAAGCAAAAAAAACTATTTTATTAATTCATAATAATTATTATCTAATTTATTTAGCTTTAATTTATTTTATTTAATTTCTTCATTATTAATAAGAATGAATGAAGTATTGTATTTAGTTAACATGATTGGTTAAAATTTAAAAATAAAATAGATCAAATTGGCATTTATCTGTTTAATTCTTATCATTTTTTAATTGGTCATAATTATTTCTTGAAAATTAGATCAAATCAAAATGAAATAACAAATTTCTATATTCTGAATTTTTATTATAGTAAATTAAATGAGTGGTCATGAATTTTATTAAATAAAATAATTGAATATAACAAATTTTTATAATAAAACTTACTATTATATATAATGAATTAAAAATCTTATATCAGTATAATAAATGGGATTTTTATTAACAAAGTATTTTTTATATAATAAATTTTATATTAAATTTAAGGAATATAATGAATTTTTTTCTTATATTATTATAAAAGAAGGCTTGCATGATTAGACTCAGCTCAAATTGTGTTACTTCGTTTCTTAATTTTCAATGATTTTTCTAGAGGCAAGCAGAATAGTAAAAGTTTTTTGATATATTATTTGGGATTAAAATTGTGCTAAAATAGCTATATCAAACAGTGTAATTTTTAGTATCAGACAGGCTAATTCCTAGCCAAGTTTGATATTAACATTTAGATTTGAGTCAAATTAAGCTAGAGGTTTAAATTCAATAATTGATTTGCAGGTAAATTAGATAACCTTTTAAGTAGTATTTTGATTTTTGTTTCAGAAACCCTATTATTGCTGTAATCAAGTTAATAAATAAAATTTATACAATTAAAATTTTATTAAGAAAAAAAATGTATAGAGTTAATAGAAATGAATGCTGATCAATTATGAGTTATATTAGTATTATTCAAAATTCTCACTTAACAGTTTACAGGTTTTTTTCTTATATAAAATAAGTTAATTTAGGAATGATAGAAGCAAATACATAAGATACATAAGAAGTTTATCAAAAAAAAGGTTATTAGACTACTCTCATTTAGAAATAGGCTAAATATTAGATATTTTATTAAAATCAATGCAAAAATATTATTAAAAAACTAAATCTTTAATTAGTGATAAAAATATTATTAATAATAGTCTTGTTTATTAAACAAAATAATATGAAAGTTACATTTAAAGAATATCATTAATTTATTATTTCAATAATTTTTTTACAAATAGAAATTGTAAATAATAAATCAATTTTATAAAAACATTTTACATTATTTTACATTTGACTCAAAAAATTAGGTTTTAAAACTACAATCATAAAAAAGGAATTTATTTTGATAGACATGAAAAAGAAATAAGACATATTAAAATATCAAAACATTAATATCAACTTTCATAAAAGAAAATATGATATAAATTAATATATCTCTAATAATAAATCTTTATATATACTTATAACTTATAGTAAATGCTTATTTTATTCTAATGATAATTAGTTAATTGTTTAGATACCAATTGGTGAACTATTTCTTTGTAAAAAAAAAAGACAAGTAGATCAATTATGGATAGTGATTTTTTATTAGAAATAATTAAATAATTAAATTTATATCTTAAACAAATATTAGCAAATCTAAATATTCTAATAGAAACAAAAAAATATTTTTAATCTAGTAAAAATGCAAAAGGATAATAAATAGCAAATCATTTAATAGATCAAATAATTAATTATATAATTACAATTTTTAAGATAGTTCATCCTAAAGCAATTATTATATTTGCATTTGATAATAATACAAATCATGATATAATATTAGCTAATAGATTAAATACAACTGCTATAAATATAAATCTTAGAAATAAATAACTATATATGCATTCAATATTTTAGACAAGATAATATATAACAATCAATAAATTTTCTATTTATTTATCTAACATATCTAAATAAATGTAAATAAATATATCAAATTTTAATAGAAAAAGATTTATAAAAAATATAGCTTAGTTGATAATTGTAAATTATATAAAGAAAAGAATATAGAAGTAATTGATACTTAATGAGTAGATTGTTATATGTATTGTACTTTATCATTATAAAATAAAAAGATATGACATAAATATATTTTTTATCCTAAATATCATTATGAATTAAACTATATTGAAATATATTAAATATAATAAAATGATACATAAAAAAAAATTATGATTTTACTTAAATTGATTTTACAAAAAATTGTATTTAAAGTTTAAATTATATAGATATTTACAAAAAAGAATTATAGGAAAATTAGCAAATTTATTATTAAAAAATATAAATCTATATAAGAATCTTGATAGTATATATAATGAATTTGAATTAAATATTAATAAATTTGTAATTTTTTTTAGTTTTATATATATAAAACATTATTTACTAAACTCTAAATTTTAATTGACTAATATATGTATCATATAGGAGGTTTGCTAGGAAAATAAAACTTTAAGCATTTTTTAATATAC